TGGTGGCCCACAACGCCGAGGCCGACCAGGGGCTGCACACCTATCGGGTGGGCATCAATCAGTTCGCCGACATGACCGATGAGGAGTACAGATCGCATTTGAACCTGCGCATCAACCCGGCCTATTTACAAAATTTGACCGAGGTCGATGAGCGTATCGATGGTACCGCCGACCCGGCCAGTATCGACTGGCACGCCAAGGGCAAAGTGGCCGCCGTTAAAGACCAGGGTCAGTGCGGCTCCTGTTTCGCCTTCTCGGCCGTCGCCTCCATTGAAAGTAAGTGTTATTTATTATAATTAAAATAATTTTATAAACAGCTTAGCACATTTTTAATTAGTTTATAAATTATAATATAAAAACATTATTTCACGCAAAAGTAAATGATTATAATTAACTTATTAGACGAGAATAGTTTTAATAAACAATATTTACTAGATAAAGTTAATAACCTGATTTATTAAATAAACACAACAAATTAACAATATAAAATTATTTTGTAACTTAGGTCAATACGCTATCGCTACGGGCAAAGCGGTGCCCGACCTGTCGGCCCAGCAAATCGTCGACTGCATCCACTCGGGCGGTGACGTGTGCCAAACCGGTGGCGACCCCGTGGGTGCCCTAAACCTGGTAATCCAGGAAGGTGGCGTCGAGACCACCCGCGACTATCCCTACCACGCTCGTATGTCTAGCTGCGTGTACTCTCGTAGCAAAGCAGCTGTCTCAATTACAGGCGTAAAAACCCTGCAAACCGGTAACGAGAATACCCTGAAATCAATGGTTGCCGGACAGCCAGTGGCCGTCGCCATCGACGCTGGTCACTCTGGTTTCCGTAACTACCACTCCGGTGTCTACCAAGATTCAGCATGTCACACCCAGGTGTCTGGCTTGAACCATGGTGTTTTGGCCGCTGGTTATGGCTCGGAAAATGGCCATGATTATTGGCTCATCAAGAACTCGTGGGGAACCGGTTATGGTGCCAATGGTTATATCAAGATGGCCCGTAACCATAACAACAACTGTGGTGTAGCCTCGTATGCCTGCTACCCGACCGGTGCCCATTAAATCCGGGTCCGACTGTATATGATTTTTGTATAAAAAACCTCCAAATACTTTGTATAGAAATGTATTTGTATTGACAAATTTAGTGTATAATAAAGCAATTACAAATAATTACATTGTTTAGTTCACTTTAATTCACATTTATTTACAGTAATTGCGATTAAAAAAATTGTATTGACATTTATCAAGTTAAATTAAAAAATATAACTATTTTAATACATTACAGTGAGAGTAAATTTCACTTAATAAAATACCATAGTAAGTAAATAGGAAATATACAGTACATTAAATGATTAAATATTTTCAAGTTTTACTGCAAAGTATACGGTATTTAATCCCTGTTTGTAAACCACTCCCAATGTTAATGAATTATTATTTAGTGTAGATATAAAACATCTCCTGATTATAAAGGCTTATAAATACAATGTTTAGATAAGTACCTTATTTCATGTAGGTAAGAAATATACCAAACTGTTTCATTTGTACATTTATTTTTTAAACTATAAAATTTTTATCAAGAGCAAATTAAATAAATAATTATTAAAACTAAAATGTTTTTATTTGAATTAGTATTTTCACTTGAAAATTATATTTTATACTATAAATAAAAACCTCTATTTAATTATGATTAGCAATTCCTTGTATGTGATAATGAACTCGCAAATATAACAGATTTATAGACATGGTAACTAGATTAATCAAACCAACGGTAAATTACCAGTGTCATGGTAATTTTGATATAATATTGCATTGTATTTACGACATTATTTTGGCAAATATATTAAAGGGATGTGGTATATATTATGATAAGTTGTGATAGATTTATTTGAAAATTTCCAGTTATTCGGAGTAAAATAAGTTATAGAAATTTTCCGTATTTTGATGGTGTTTATTTTACACATTCTGTCTGTTATCAAGATGTTTCAGATTAATATTGTGAGTAATTAGTGTAAACGTATGATAATATACTGTTAGGTAAGGGTTATTACAAATGAAACTGAAATTTTTTATTATTTAATAGTAATATTATTATATAAAGTCCGTTTAGTTTTACACCATTTTGTACTATAAATAATTCACAACTAGATTCATTTAGTATTTTAATTATTATTCTAGTCAAGTGAGTAACTAACTATATTTAAATATCATTTTTAAATATAAATATACAACATTTTTAAAATGTTAAACATATAAAGTTATTTATAAATTATAAACTATTAATTAATTAAATTTATATAACTATAAACTTTACAGAATAAACATGAAGCTCATTATAACACTGGCAGCGGTGGTAGCGATGGTCAGCGCAGTGACCATAAGCCCCGACGAGATTGAGAGCGAGTGGCAAAAATTCAAGGTAAAAAACGCATCACCATAATCAAATACAAAACTACAAACAACAAACACCACAATAAAACTAACACAATTACCATAATCAATAATCACAGCGTGAATATCGGACCAAAAACACATTGACCGCAATGACTGCCGCGGAGGCCGAGAAAGAGGAGCCCAAACGGCGCCAGATTTTTGCCGACAACTATCGGACAGTTGTCGAACACAACACCGAAGCGGACGCTGGGCTACACCCCTACAGGTTGGGCGTCAACGAGTTTGCCGACATGACCGACGAGGAGTTTAGGCAAAAGTATCTGGGTCTGTTGCCGCCTAAACCGAGTAATATTACCACGTTAAATACCGTGCGCGATTTAAAAACAACGGCGACAGTACCTGATAGTATTGATTGGCGCACTCAACATGTGGTCACACCGGTTAAGAACCAAGAACAGGCACGTTATTTTATGTATAATTATTTAATATTGCACTTTCACTTTCTTCCGACATGCTATTTTAATTTACCATGATTTATCTTAATAGTTCATTAATTGTATAAGCTTAAATAATTATAGTGCGGCTCCTGTTTCGCGTTCGCTGTGGTCGACACCATTGAAAGTAAGTATTACTATAATAGTAATACAACTAAACCTCGTTATAAGCCTTAAATTTATAGAATATAGAGAATTTATTTATTAAATAATCATTTTAATTTTAAGTAAATTAGCTGCTGATGAGTTAATTAAATAAGCTAAATTAATTAAGTGCTATTTACAACAATAAAGGAGTCGTCTTACTTTGAAATCGATATCAATAAAATCAAACAAGGATGTTTGCAAAATATCCTGTTAGTCATTCAATAACAAAATGTGAAAAAATTAATTTCTAAATTCTAAACATTTTTGAACAAGATCATATTTTATCCCCAAACTAAGAATGTGATTATCTCGAAAACTATTTGAGATAATTAAAAAATTCTTTCACGGCCTGAACAAGTGTTTGAATAACAATTAAAAATACAATTAAATACTATTGTGACTAATGAATAATGAATGACAAACAATCATTAAATATCTCGAAAACTATTTGAGATAATTAAAAAATTCTTTCACGGCTTGAACAAGTGTTTGAATAACAATTAAAAATACAATTAAATACTATTGTGACTAATGAATAATGAATGACAAACAATCATTAAAAGTTTTAAACAGTTATTAAAGTACTTTATTAACAAAAACTCAATATGAAAGTGGGGTTGAATTTGAACCTTTATTTAGTCTACAAAAGGATCTGAAGAGAAACTCTTGAGTTTTTGAGATTAATACCGAGTTTTTTGGCAATAAATGAATTTTCATATAAATGAAAATTAGAACATATGTATTGGGTATGAGGAAAAGTAGCGAAAAAATCGCAGAGTAAAATGAAAATTATTTTTTTTATTAATAACCAAAATAGTAATTCAGATTATATATCGGCCATCATTTTTGGCAACTATTGATCTTCATTTTAGTAGAGATTCAATATCTTCCAAATAAAAATGGCTGCCCTGAGAGTCAAAGAAGTAAGTGATGTCTATTTCGACCACTACTTTTGTTTTGACATTTTTACCACTAAGACATGATTGCAAAGTGTGATATAATAGCCAATCTTATAGAGTAATAACTGAAGATTCTAATGAATATTAGAGATATATTTGCTCAAAAACATAAATTATGTTTAAGGTGATTTTAAAAATATCTCACCTGAAAAATAGGCCAAAAATAGCCATATTTTGGGTATATTCCCAAATATCTGCTCGGGATCCTTTCCTGGCCCCTTATAAATGGTTATAAATGGGTAAATTTGTTAAGCCTAAGTTGACCAACAATTTTATATTTAAAAGTATTTGATCGGACTTAACACAGTCTCATGGCACATGATTGTTTACAAGTCGGGGTCGACTCAATCGGAGCCAGACTTAGAGGTCATAACCTTCAAATTTTAACATTTTAAACAATTCACTAAATAGGTTGATAGCCAATGCATTGCCTCCGACTCTAATACTGTTTGAAATAAGCTATTAAGTATTCATTTAATACTATAATTCAAATTTAAGAAAAACTTTGATGTGTTCTCTATGGTTAGTTTCATCTGGCAACCCTACTTCTTGTTATAAATATATTAATTTTATTACATATAATTGAAGCTAATATATTGAAGTATTGAATAGAGTTTAAATGAATTGGTTCATACAATGCATAAAAATTTTACACTTATTCAAAGTCAAGTAAGACAAATTTTCTC